ATGCAGGGCAAAACGGATTTATTTGGGTTTAGACCCCACTGGGAGTTGGGCATCTGAGTGCTAAAGACGAGCGCGCTATTGTGAGCTGTTTTCGGGTAAACTTGCAGCTTTGGGACAAGTGATTCAGACCCTGGGTCTGTGTCTGGAGCCAGACAGGAGTGTCTGGCTCAGCAAGACAGGGTGCTGGAGTCCTGAGCTGGCAGGGAAAACAGACGCAGGGGTAGTCTTGGCACATCGGGTGGCGGCTCCCAAGGGGGTTTCTGTGATCCAACCCGTCACAATCCCCATTTTACTAAGGGGGAAACTGAGGCACGGAGCAGGGAAGCATTCTGGCCAGTCACCCAGTAGCAACAGCACCCAAGAATCCCCATGAAGTCAGCAGGGCCCCACAACTGGTCACGGGATTAAAAACCAGTCCAGGCCTGGCGACGAGAGAAGCTCCCCGAGAGGCAGCAGGGAGCCTCCGAGGGAGAGGAGGGCTGACTGCCGGCTGATCTCCGCGGGGAAGGGGAGTCGGAAGGGGCCAACTCGGAGGAGCCGAGGGAGGGCCGCAGCAAGACTCCTGGCCTGAGGAGGGGAATCTGCCCAAAGTATCGCACAGGCCCAGGAGGTCTGGGTGGGGGATCCCAGAATCCGGGGGAACGAGGGCTAGGCTTGATGGGCGAAAGAGCGCTTTGATTTGCTGTAAGAAAATGGCACAAAAGGGGAGAAATCTTCATTTAAGATGCTCTGGCCTAGGGATGAGCCCCCTACAAGACACACAAGAGGGAGCTGGAGGCAGCACATCTGCTGGGAGGCACCCTGTTATACTGTCCCTATTGAAATACCTAGATGCTCTGCATTGACTTCAATGGGAGCTGGGATAAGGCCACGGTGCTCAGCCCAAGGACATCGATAGGTTATTTAATTCCCTGGCTGCCCAACAAGAGCCTAACAAGCATGGCAGGGTTATTAGAGACATTAAGAACCAAGCGCTGCAGAGTTCAGGTTACTCCCCTCCCTAGATCACCTTAACTCTGCCCCCTTGCAGTGACGCTGGCCTGCTCGTCACATGCCGAGTAGGGAATTGACCTCCGCACTGCATAGCACACACTTCCTATGTGTGTGTCTGAGCCCGAGCACAGGAGCAGGGGTCTCACAGACAGTGCTGCTTTCCAGGGGGACGTCGGATATTTAGACTCCCTGCAACTGGCTCGAGTGACACAGGGGGTCAGCTGCCTCGGGGATCCCGAGGGCCTCAACTTGTGAGGGGCTGGGGAGCTGCTATGCCAAGCCCTCCATGCCTGAACAGAATGGGTCCTTCATGAGGAGGGGGGTCTGATCGCTCTTGCGCGGCCCTGTGTCCAATCTAGGCAGTAACAATACCGAATAACAGCCATGTATGGGCCTGAAGGGCTCCAGCGGGAACCACATCACATCAGGCTAGAGAGAGGGCGGCAGCCTGTTTCCCGAGCTGGGCTTGGCACGGATGGAGAGGGAAGCTAGATTTTCTAGGAGTGTCTATGGGGGCAGAGTTAAGGTGGCCTGAATACCCAGAGTGCTATGGGCAGCCTTAGCTCCGCCCTGCCTGGGTTTTTCATGTTGAGGGGGTTATTTGAACTGATGTTCTTGCCAGGCCCCAGCCGGGGGAGCCAGGAGAACATAGCAGCAGCTTTAACTCCTGCGGAAATGAAGATTTGCGTGCAGTGAATCTATAGTAAGGTTCATGAACAGTGTCGACCGCAACTAGAGCGGTTAATAGCCGAGGGGGAAACCTTCCATCTCCGTTCCAACTTGAGGGGCAGGTTTAATTCCCAGCTGTGCTGCAGTCAGAGCGCCCCCTCCCCCACTGACCAATCAAGCCTGTCTCAAAGACACTGTAGTACCTGCAAGCCCTGTCCTGGGAGCAGCCAACAAGCGGGGATGCAGGAAGACTGGCGTCCTCAGAGCCATGCTGGGCGGGTGAGCTAGAGATTTTGGGGTGGGAATTAAGTTCAGTCCATTGCTCCAGGTGAAGGACGGGGTGTGTGTGTCTGAGCTGTACAGAGGGAATGATGGGCTCTGGGGCAGAGAATCAGACTTCTCAGGGGACCTATTCCTGAACCCAATGCTGACGCCAGACAGGCCGGGAGGGGAGAACATGCACCTGAGACAGCTCCAGGCTGAATGGGAAGCACAGAGGAGGGCAGGCGGGCTGGGAACTCACCTGCCAGAGCTGCTACCAAAGCAATGACGACAAAGAACAGAAACACAGCTACACCGGAGACACAGATCAGGGCTATACGCACGGATGGGTCCCTGAAGGGAGATCGAGAACCTGAAAGAGAAGCCAGGCAGGCTCCCAGGGCTGCTCCACGGCAGGGGTTGGGGAGCCAGCGTTCGTAACCACCAGCATCGGAGCTGCCACAGACCTGGATTTATTTGTATCGCTGGTACGTGCGGGCGCACGGATATTAGTTAAAACCATGCAGAGTCCTAACAATGTCCTCCCCAAATCCCACCGAGTTACAGGGATCTTGGCTCCCGTTAGAGGATAAATGGGGCTAGTTAATCCCCTCTCTTCCCGTCCAGACTCTCCTGAAGCATCGGCAGGGTGACCGGCTCCCAGCTGTCAGGGATGGGAACGGGTCTCACCCTCCCCTTCTCTGCAGTCTGGGCCCTGAGCTGTGTCCGTGCCCCTGCCTGGGGGCTCAGACTCGGTCACGCACGGAGCCCTCAGGCCCAGCTGCACCCAGCTCCTCTGAGCCCAGAGCAATTGAACATCCGACCCCCTGCCCCTCCCTCGGTGAGTGTGGGGAACATCTGCTGTATGTTCAGCACACGTTTCATACAGATTCCTCCAGAGAGCTGAGAAAGCACCTCAGCATCGAGACTTCAGCCCCTCTGAAAAATGAAGGAATTGGGGACACTGGCTCGTTACCCAGGGAACAAACCCCAGCAGCCCGTGTGAAAGAACAGCAGCCCCGTGGCCCCACCCAGCCTTCACAAACAGCCTTCCCTAAAACGCCCAGAGCCACGTTTTCAGAAGGCCCAGGGAAAACCCTGCTCGAACCCGGGCTGTGGCCACAGGCCTCAACGGAAGGCAGAAATTTCCCACTGTCCCCACACCCCGGCTCCTCGCTGTGCACAAGTGGGGGACCCTGGACGTGCCCCAGATGTGGCTAGACTGTAAGGTCTCTGGGGCTGGGACAGTCATTGTGTGTACATCTGTACAGCACCCAGCACAACGGGCCCAACCTGGCTGGTCTCTAGGCGCTGGAGTAGAAATACAAGAATCTGCGAGGAGGCCTATGCTCTCCCGTTTGAAAATCTGGTGCTTACGGTAAATAGAGGGATGAACACAGAACAGGGGTCCAGAGTTTTAGATGTGGATGCTGTAGTGTGTAGAAATGGGGCTAGTGCCCCTTTAAATAGCTGGTGAGCCCTCCAGCGGCGCTCACTGTGTTTTAGGTTTGAGAAGCCAGCCCGAGCAGCAGCGCGCATGTAGCTGGGCCTGGGGTGTCCGTGTGTGGCTAGTACACATGGGTATTTGGTGCCCCACTGTGTCCTGGGTTCGTTCATAGCATTTCATTGCCTTTTGCTCTCTAGTCAGGAGTGACACGTGCCCACCCAGAACCGTTCATCCACAACCCCCCGCTGCACATAGAAAAGGGCGGTTACAGGTGCAGGCTGGGTAACTGTCGACAGGAGCCCACTGGGGCAGTCGGGGCCTTGCTACCTGGACAAACGCAAGGAGACGAACCCTCAGTGGAAGGGAAAATTGCAAAGCCAGCATGCGGCTCCCCACAGCCCATTCCCTGACCACGAAGCTGTGATTACCTGGGTCCTGACCTCTCCTTGCATCTCCATTGCTACTTGACAACTCGATTAATTGTTCTTGTTGAGGATTCTCTCCAGATTCTGTGTCCCCTCCTGTCTCAAGGGCCCCATTACAATTGGAGTTCACCTCTCCTTGCGGACTCTGCTCGGTAGAATCGGTTTCCCCCATCTCTCTACTGACACGCACAGGCTCCTCTGATCCACTCCTAGCGAGAGTCACTTCCACCGGACGGCAAGCCAGCCACACTCAGATTCCTCTCCCTCTGAAGCTTCTGTGTGGAGCAGAAAGCCACACTCAGGACAGTTCATGGCTTAGTAGGGTCAGTTCTTGCTATTCCCTGTTCAGTCCAAGAACATAAGCGACGTGACATCCAGCTAGTTTTTGGCTTCTGAAATCTATTGTACAAGTCGATCCTGCAGAACTGATCCTAGTCCACCAGCAGAACCCAGACCCTGCTAGAACAGCTCAACGGCATGGATCTGGCTGGCTTTTGGCCCCAAATTCAAGACTTTGCCTAAAAGAAAAGATCCGTTTATTGCTGTTGTCTCTCCCCAACCCCTGGAATCCACCAACATTCGACCCCTCACCCTGTTGCTCCTAACAAGTGGAGTTCCTACCAGGACAAGGGAGTTTTTAACCTGACATTGCTGGGCAAGAACATTTCAAACCCTGTATCCAGCATCTGGACTCAACTGGCTCCTGCTTTTGGCCCAGAAACTCCAAATCATATCAGTAACAGATCGGGAGTCTCCATTCACAAAAAGCCATTTTTGTCACATCATGTGTAACTTCCCGTTACGGGTTTCCTTCTTGGGGGATGCTCCTCATGGGCAGTCATGTTTGCAGTTCCTCATATCAGACCTCTCCAAGACTGTATTATTAAGACTGTTTTGAACCAAGAAATGTAAATGAACCTTACAGAGCCTGGATCAGCCGAGGAGGGAAATGAACTAACAACCGACGGCATCTGAAAAGCACATGCATTGATAATACACTGTTCTGTGATAGCTAGCAATCAAAGAGCAGAGACTCTGTACATGAAACTCACTAAAATATACACAATTTTTGAGACCTCAGTGCACTAAGTTGAACGTTCTCATTGTAAGGCGTTTTTGTCCAGCAGTTTAACAGATTCTCCTTCATACAAGCTGGTATTCACCGTTGAGAAAACAGGTCTAAATCTGTAAAGAAAACAAAAAAACCTGCCAAGTTCCCTTTTCTGGGTGAAGAAAAGCAGCCCCCTCTCTCTCCCCTTCCGAAAATCTGAAGTCTATTTCGACAGTCGTTTTCCTGTGTCGTAAGCAGATCTATAAGCGTGCTGGGCACTGCTCCAGTAAAACAAGTCCTGGCAGACTTCAACTTTTATAATTTTGTATTAATAATAATGATGTATTATACTGGTTTATTTTAAAGTTTTATCTTTATCATCAATTTAAATTTTCACAGCGGTGGGGAAATTCTGGGGATGGGTTCAGACAATAGATAATGACAGACCAGGTTGCTATTCAAAGTTAAAGCTTTGTAATTGTTTTAACCATCTGTCAACATCACATGTCAAAACATGCTAAGGAAATTTGCTTCAATCCAACTGTAAGAAGTTCTCAAGCAGCAGTTTTCTGACTTTGCAGATCTGCACATTTCAATGACCACCAACGGAGATATTTTCCCATCAGCATGTTTGTGTGCCATGAAATGAATACCGACATTTTACTATCAAAATCGAATCCTTCCAAGCCTACTTATTAGCTGAATAGGTCATATTGTAATAGCTGTTCCTGTTTGAGATCTATAATCTGTTCCCCAGCCGCTGAGTTCTTACCAGAGGAGGCAGCTTCAGTCCCCACCCCGGCCATTTAATCTCCTGTTCCCCTGCTCCAATGTACCCTTGTGGAGGTTTTCAAACTGCGGTCGCAGGGGCTCTGGTCAGCACAGCTGCCTGGGCCATTAAAAGTCCCCTCAGCAGTGCTATCCGGCTAAAGCAGGCTAGTCCCTACCTGTTCTGACATCGCGCTGCACCCTGGAAGGGGCCAGCAGCAGATCCGGCTCCTAGGCAGGCGGGCAGGCCATGGGGCTCTGCGTGCTGCCCCCACCCCAAGCACCAGCTCCGCACACCGGGAACGGGCAGGGGACGATGCCTGAAGGCAAGAGCCGCACAGAGCCGCTTGCGCACCTCAGCCTAGGAGCCAGGGCCGCTGCTGGCTGCTTCCAGGATGTAGCACGACCCGCGGTGCCAGGACAGACAGGAAGCCTGCCTTAGCACCCCCGCTGTGCCACGGATGGGGAGCCCCTGAGGTAAGCCCATGCCCCAACCCTGTGCCCCCCCAAGCCCAGAGCCCCTTCTTGCACCTCAAACCCCTTATCACCAGCCCCACCCCAGAGCCTGCACCCCCAGCCCAGAGCCCTAACCCCCTCCTGCACTCCAATCCACTGTCCCAGCCCTGAGCCCCCCCCCGCACCCCAAACCCCTCCTCCCCAGCTCTATTAGGTCGAGGGCATCACCGATTTTCTTCAACTGGGTCGCCAGAAAAAGTTTGGAAACCCCTGTGTTAGAGAGCTGCTAACATCCCTGCGGTTTTTGGCGCTGAACCGTGCTCTTGGGCTAGAGCAGCAGGACGGGCTGCTTGGCCCTTGCCATTTCCAGGGGATCTGCAGGGGACGGGTTATACACACCTCCCCCGGGCTCTTTCCCGCCCCAGGCAGCAGCAAGTTGATTCTGGTTGGGGGGGTTTTCACATTTCAAAAAATAAACTGCTCCGCGCAGCCCCCAACCCAACTCCCCTCCCCATCTGATCAGCATGCAGCTCCCCCACCCACCCTATCAGATCAGCACGCCGCCCCCGCCCAACAGCCCCCATCCAACCCCAGTCCCCCATCTGATCAATGCAGAAACATACCTGTCCTATCTCCACCAGTGCAAACCCCGCCCAAGCCCTACTCCACTTTCCCCACTTCCTCCCCACCCTCCAAATCAGTGCAGCGCCCTCCCATGGCTTCATGCTCCCCCTCCCCAATATCACTGCAGGATTCCCCCCCGCCTTCACCTGGTGCCAGAGATCCCCCCTTTGCGTGCTGCATCTCCCTGCCCCAGAAGGACCCCGAACGTGAACAGAGCAGCCAGCGCGACAGGGTCCCACTGCACAGGATTGGGTCCCCTAGACCCAGGGGCGGAGAACCCTAAGGACTCTGCTCCGGGCCAAGAGTCAGATCACGATGCCTCAGTCCCTGGGAGCTTGGTCAGCCTACCGCTGCAGGTGGCACTTCCCATTCCAACCAACCCCAGCGAGCAGGAAGGGCTTCAGAAAAACACCATAAAAGGGCGGCAAATCTAAACAAGACCAGAAGGGAGCCCCAAAGAAGAGGAGCCAATTGGCCAGCAGCCAGACTGGAACCCGTTCCCCTTCCAAGAAGGGCCTTGGAAGGATGCCCAGAGACACCTGGATGCTTTAATGACCTTTTTAAGAACCCGTGATTAAGACCTGTGGGTGAGCACTTTGATCTACCAGTCCTCATCCACAAAGGAAACCTACACAACACCTTCAAAAGATGAGCCTGGGAGATTAATTCATTCCTCTGCTTGACACTAAGCACATCGCCACTGGCACTTTCCCGCGCTGCAACTTTCCTGCACTGCAGGGGTGTGAAAAAACACCCCCCTGAGCACTCCCAGCGCTGGGAAACTATTCCCCTAGGGGAGGTGAGTTTTTTTTTTTAGAGCCGTGACTACACAAGCCACATGAAAGCCCTGTCACGGCAGGGCTTTAACCTTGCCAGTGAAGGCATGACCTAAAAATCATGGACTGAACAGAGACACTGGATTAATTGCTCATCACCACCCACTACACCCCCCACCACCACCACCCAATTTTGGCCTATGACTGCAGTGGTGCTAACTGGACACTCTACCTTGAATGGTCCCTTACAACATGTGCTAACTACTGATGCTAAACAATCTGCTCCACCTTGCGTTGTGCTGTGACTACTTATTGGGAGAACCAGACCTGAAGAGCAGCGCTGTGTGGCTGAAAAGCTTCTCTCCCCCCAACAGAAGTTGGTCCAGGTCCAGCAAAAAAGATGACCTCATCCACCTTCAATATTCAAGCCGCTTGTTGAAGAGATCCTTCTCCCATTAAGAATCACGTTATGCCGACAGTCATGCAAAAACAAACAATTACGGGCACCCAATGCATCCCCTCTCTTCCCTGCCCCTCCACACTCATGCACAAAGATATTGCCCATGGTCTTCAGTTTTGTAGAAAGTCACTCCTTTATGATTTCGGTTGTCATCTCAGGATCTACAGTTCTCATTACCCAATCTCAGTAACAGCATTTCCCAGAGAGTTAAAACCCACTGAACTCTGGTGCTTGGGCTGCATTTTTTTGGATTCATGGTAGTTTCCCTCCACTTCCCCGGGCTATTCTTTATAACAGAAAGATTCTCCTTCAGCAGAACAGGTAAAGATTCAGATACCATGGTCTATTCCAGAGAATGCCAGGCAGAGCTGCCCTCTTTCAAAATGGCTGCCATCTCCTCTTGTCCTCAATGGGACAAAAGCCATATCTGTCCTTACTTGGTGGCCATTTTGAGAAGGGCATCTCTCTCTATATTTCCACTTCCTCAAAGTGGAGGAACTCACCAGCTCCCCTGAGGGATGCAGTGGCTTCAGACCCATGGAGAACAATGCAAGATGGAGGCTATTTTGAAAGGGGGCCATTCTCCCCAACAAAGTTTGTTATGAAAAATAACCATGAATCCCGAATGCCTTTTCAGCCAACACCCACTGAGACAGATCTACTCAACAGGTAGGCCAGAAGGGAGGGAGAACGGGTGTATCTGAGCACAGAGGGTAACAGGTAGGGTGGTGTCAGAGACAGGGGGAATTTTGAGGATAGACGGGGTGGGAAGAACCTGGAAAGACCATTTTGCCCTGCTCCGGTCAAACAAAGCAACTGTGAGTCTTCTTAACAGGCCCACAGGCTCTGGCTGCTTTGTGCCATGCCAGAGAGGAGTAAAGCACCTCAAGTGGTCCTGTGGATACGGCCTTAGAAGTTAAACAGACATTACACCAAAACCAAGAGTTCTACGTCCAGGACATTCACAGTAAAGGTTACACTGACAAGCAATTCAAACATGTTCAGGCCTGGAAATGCACACCACTGGGGAAATCAAACAACCTTCCCTGTGCACTATAGTGAACATAAGAGCGGCCATATTAGGTCAGGCCAATTGTCCATCTAGCTCAATAGCCTGCCTTCCAACAGGGGCCAACGTCAGATGCCCCAGAGGGAATGAACAGAACAGCCAATCATCAAGTGATCCAACCCCTGTTGTCCACTCCCAGATTCTGGCAAAGAGAGGCCAGGGAGACTCAGAACACGATGTTGGATCCCTGTCCATGCTGGCTAATAGGCATCGATGGACCTATCCTCCATCAACTTATCTAGTTCTTTTTAGAACCTTGTTACTAGTCTTGGCCTTCATCCTCTGGCAAAGAGTTCCACAGGTTGACTACATTGGGTGAAGAAATACTTCCTTTTGTTTGTTTTAAACCTGCTGCCTCAATCTCACTGGGTGACCCTCGGTTCTTGTGTTATATGAAGGAATAACATTTCCTTATTTACTTTCTCCACACTAGTCATGATTTGAGAGACTTCATCTTACTCATCATTTTTACAAGCTGAAAAGTTTCCGTCTTTTTAACCTCCCCTCGTATGAGAACGGCAGGTTAATATCACGGGTGCGTAACAAGCTGTAGAGTATGAAAATGCATGTTCCCAGGTCTGTAGTTAGGATTTTCCGATACCGCACTTTCAGTGCCATGCTGTTTGTGGGGTTCAAGCAGAGCTGGCTGAAAGTTTGCCATTATTTTTAAAGGGAAAATGGGCTTTTCCAGCTAAAAAATGTTTTCCTGATGCGCTGAGTTTTGTAAACAATTTTGGGGGTTTATCATAATAGCAAAACCCAAACGCTTCAGTTTCTGATCAAGAGCCAAATAATTCCTTAGGTTTAAACAACAAAAGTTTTTGGATGAAACCTGCCCTAACAAATCAAAGAAATTGGGCAACATTCCCCTCTCCCCCATTTGTTAATGTTTTTAATGCAGGGGAGGGAAAAGTTTCCATTCAAGTGCTGGTGAGAGGGAGCCTGGTTCCAGATCAGCAGGGACTAGAGAAGTGATACTCAGATCTCAAAAGTTGAGGAGCTAAATTAGCCACCAGCATTACCCAGAATAGCCACAGTCCCGTAAATTCACGGTTTCATTTAGATCCAAAGGTCCATCTAGCCCAGTATCCTGTCTTTGGACAGTGGGCAATGCCAGGTGCTCCAGAGGGAATCAATCCTCCAGTGAAAAAAAGAACAGGAGTACTTGTGGCACCTTAGAGACTAACACATTTATTAGAGCATAAGCTTTCGTGGGCTACAGCCCACTTCTTCGGATGCATCCAGTGATCCATCCCCTGTTGTTCATTCCTGGCTTCTGGCAAACAGAGACTAGGGACATTATGGCAGGGGAAATATTTAGATTATAATCACAGCAAATTCACATTCATATCTTAGTGCAAGTTATTATTCACCAATTAAGTTACCATAAAAGCATCCTGCCTGCTGGGTTAATAATAAAATCAGTGTTTTAATATCGCCTGCTACAAAGAGCCACTGGGGGCTCCCCGGCTCCCGTCTGAGAAGCGCTGCATTAGAGCCAGGCGAGGAACTGAGATTCCCGCTACTGGCGGACTCGGCTCAGGCCAGCTCCCGGGGGCGGGGGCAGACAGTCCCGCGGGGGAAGTCACGTTTCCTAGAGGGCGAGGAGCTGCTGCAGCGCCGGCGGCTCTGGGGAGGCCGGGCCTGTTCTGGGAGCCTCAGGACTCAGACCGGCACGTGTGTGTCGGGTCTGCAGCACCGTGCGCGGCCGGGCGGGATCAGCCCCCCGGCTCTGCGCTCCCAGGGTGCGTGCGGGGCGGGGGCAGGCAGGGGCGAGCCCAGCCGCCTGCGGTGCCATGGGAGGGGACCGGATCCCCTGGCACCACGCCAAGGAGCTGCGCTGCTCTTCGTGAGCAGAGCTCGCCCGCCCCCGGTGCACGGCGCTGTACAAGGCAGAGTAAGAGACAGGCCCGGTCCCGCTGCCCCCCACGGTCACACCCCGCTCCCCAGCATCACACCCCAACGCGCACAACAGCCTCCCCGCCGTCCGCAATACCCCTCCCCCGCAGCGGCCATGCCCGGCCGGAGCGTCCCGGGGGCGATCCGGGCTCCCCCCCGCGGGGACACGGAGCCCTCGCCGCCGCCCCAAGGGGAC